TATACGTACATAATATTTAATGCAGCACTTTGGATTTTTTGTTTGTGGCAAAAATTTAGTAACAATCTGAGTCCATCAATAAGGGAGTGGTTGAGAAATTATGGTATACTCATGTACCATGCCATCTTCTCTCCAGGTATTAATAAGCAATTAGATTTATATCAGTGAAACAAGAGGGTGTCCATGCAGTATTGTTAAGTGAAAAATGAAGACCAGAAGACTATATCACATTTTATTTTTGGGGAGAAGAAAACCCTAAATGCCTTTTACAGGTGTCTGTTTTCATACAGAGAAAAATACAGAAAGACATATGCGAGGTAATTTTTTTTTTTCAGAGAGAAAGAGACTTATTCTGTTGCCCCAGACTGGGTTCAAGCAATCCTCATGCCACATCCTCCCAAGTAGCTGGGACCACATGCACCTGCCACAACACCCAGCTAACTTTTCTATTTTAGGAGAGATGGAGTCACTCTTGTTCACACTGGTTTTAAACTCCTAACCTTAAGAGATCCTCCTGACTTGGCCTCCCAGAGTATTATGATCACAGGCATGAGCCACAGGGCCAAGTCTACATGTCTCATTATTTCTACTGCCAAAGTCTTTATTCAGCTCTCATCATCTGTGCGGAAAGGAGTTAACACTGCAGACCTGGGACTGCTGTTCTTGGGAACTCAGATTTCAGGAGGGTTCTACCATTCCCTATCAATGCTTCTATACAGAGAAAAATATAGAAGGATACAGGGGAAGAAATTCTTTCCTTCTAGGAGTCTGCAGTTTTGGTGCATGCTAAGTGGAAAGTACCTACATGGCTGATCCAATAAAAACCTTGATTCGGGGCAGCGCCTGTGGCTCAAAGGAAGGGTGCTGGCTCCATACAGCAGAGGTGGTGGGTTCAAACCCAGCCCTGGCCAAAAACTACAAAAAAAAGCACCCCCCAAAACCTCAGATTTCTGGGCTGAGGTGAGCTGCCCTTATCCACATTTCATGTGTTATCAGAACTCACTGCTGGAGGAATTAAGCGTGTCCTATGAGTCCACTAGGGGAGGACTCTCGGACGCTTGCTTCTGGGTTCCAGTGTGTGCTTTTTCCCTTTGCTAATGTTGCTTTGTAGCCTGTAAAATATCTTAGCCATGAGTACAACTACAGGCTGAGTACTTGCCAAATCCTGTGAGTATTCCAAGAAATCACTGAAATTAAGGGTAGTCTTGGAGACTCCTGACATACCACTTTACCATTTATTTTATGAAAAAATTCTAAACTTTCCCACTTCCCAGCGATGATAGCCCACAATGGGAACTGTATTTATCTTAAACAAGTTAGAAACCAGAAACAGTAGTTTCAGACATTAGACAACAGGCAGTAGAAAATAGTGATACCTGAAGGAAGGGACACAAATAACAAGAAACAAATACTTACCCC